GGGGGGGTGAAGTTGTTTTTTTTGGGGGGGATGGAAAATCTGTTGATTTGGAATCGTAGTCGACTACAGAATGAGTGTCGCATGGCCGAATGCAGTGGTCTTGAAAATAATGTTCTTTGAGGAGTTACTATGGATCTATTAATGTAATCATTTCCAAGTTCGACCACGTCTTAAAATATAGGGGATTTTAGACAATTTAAATAATTTAGGACGCGGGCTTCAATCCCACCTGTCAGGGCCAACCCGGTTTGAAAGTGGTTAAAGGATGACTTTATCTATCTAAACGTACAGTTTGTTGTGCTGATTCAAGACTATCCTAGAATTCAAATACTCTTCAAAGTTAAAAGACGACTACAGTAATTTTTTCTTCTCTCATTTTGGTAACTAAATCTGAAGGTTGAAAATAGAGAATGAACATTTTCGTTCACTCTTAAGACAACGGGAGACCAGAATTCTTATTGCATAAATGCAAGTTTATGAGAAACAGTATGGAAGTGAACAACATTGACGTTTTTTATGGTTGGTGTGGTGACTGGATGCTCATTAGGGAGGTTTACGATGTCTGTAGTTAAAAAAAAAAAACCAACAGAAAAGGTGTATAAGCACGAGTGACTTAGCGGTACGATTGATGGTGGTGGAGGTGGGGTTGGGTGGGTTGGGGTAGAGTAGAATATAAAATAATCTTTCCGTCGCCGGACTTTTGTGATTAGCTCAGCTCAACGACCATCATCATCTTTTTTCCCCTCTCGTGAAAAAGTAGAAGGGGAAAAAATTACAAATTTGAAATTTAGATTAAAAGAATAATATTCTCTTTGCCATCTTACCAACTCAATTTAAAACTTGCTGATTCTAAAGCTTTTAAAGCTGAGAAATATGACCCTTGCGCTATGTCAGCTAAAATCTCCCGTGGGCGACCAGGGAGCTTTAAACAAATCACAGAGATAAAGGCTCACACAGAGGTGAGAGGAGGGCTTCTATTTACCTTTTTTATTCGCACAGACTCTGGCTTGAGATCCGTACCCGGGGTGGACTGACGTCAGGACGAGGAACAGATCACCTGGAAAGTAGCTCAGATGTTTGAAAACTCCAACCGGAGCACAGCGGGGAATCTCAACTTAGATCTCCGGCTGAAATACCAAGTGGGGCAGGCGCAGGAAGAGGAATCCACCCAAACAACTGTGATGTAATTATCCACTGTTAGTGTTCATCCGTTAAAAGGAAGCTCGTATGGTGTGATGCATTGACGCACGCAGCTATGTACTTCTTTACTTGTTTGTGCCCAAGTAAGATCCATGATCCTCGAATTGAGATGAATCACCACAAGCAATTTAATCCAAGTAATAGTTTTTAGGTGTGATGTGAACGACGAAAAAATTGGTTTGCCGGAAAAATCCAGTTATACGGCGCACAAAAATCCCCTCAGAGAGAAAAGAAGTCCCTAAAGACAATCTTTTAAAAAGAGGAAAGGTATTTTATTTTTTAAAGGAAAAAGACGGGCATTAAAGTGAAGAAGATGCGGCAGGCACGTAAGAGTTACCGACAGACTCCCCAAGCTGGATGGAGAACGGTTGTCCAACCCCTCCCACGGTTCCCTGGGACTGTCATGGATCTTTGCTGAGCAGTAAGAATTCCTAAGAGCGCGCGGTTATCCTCGCGACGCTACGTCTCTCAATGCACGTGCGCTCTGCGAGACTGCACGCGCGTGGCTCGTAATTTGTGTGAGCCATTGGGGTATGGGAGAGGTTGTGAGCGGATGTCAGGTTACCGCGTTGATGACGGTACGAACATTTTTCTCGGTACACTTGATGGTATGGCCTCAATGGTTACTCTGAGGTACTTAATTTCGCGATATTTTTCTGGCTAACACAAAATGTTTCCCAGAAGCATAAACAGTAATTTTTAATGGGTTAATGAAGAATAAACATGGTACATAATTACTTATCCTCTGTCTCACACTTTAAAAGCATTTTCAACTGGACGTAAGCATAAAACAATTTACGGCCAGAGGCTCTCAACGGGTTTTTGTTTTGTTGTGTTGTTGTTGTTGGTGGTGGTGGTGGGGGTGGAGGTGGTGGTCGCGCTTTTTATAGGAAAGGGGGGGGGGGGGAGTGAAACTCATGTTGACAAATTGAGTCTCTTTTGGCTCAGAAGGCAAAAGCAAACCACGTAAGACTGATGAGAATTTTTTAACACTTTGTTGACCGAAATCCTCCTACTGAGCAGAACTCCAGCTGAACAAAATTTAAATTTAAAAAGAAAAACAAACACAGTCAGCAAATTTTGTTTGTTTGCTTGTTTGTTGTTTTTTGGCCCTGTTTGGTCCTTGGAGAATGATTACTTCCACGGTCTCCCTGAGCATCTTGAAATATATTTATTGTGCATTTAGAGTGGAAAATGTTTATGTAAAGTGTCTGTCCGTTTGTCAGATTCTGTAGAATTTGAAGGATGATTGTTGCCATTATCGTTGGGTATTTCTGAGTTGATGACTGTCAAATTTGTATCGTACCTAATCTGGTTTATATAAATGATTCTGGGTGTTTTTCAAGTTCAAGTCACAAGCGAATTATAATGTCCGTTAAGTAGACTATCGTGGTAAGCAAGTAACAAAAAGGGGAGAATTTTCTTTTTATCGAGCATCTCGGATTTTCTTTCGGCGGGAGCGTTGCATCCCTCTCAGCCATGGCTGTGTTGACCCTGACAGACATGGTCAATTGCCGCCTCGTAAATGATATAAATTGGGTTGCAAGATTGCCTTATACATCAGTTTAAAGTTATTAATTCGGTACATTTAATTTGCACCATAGAGTTCAGCGAAATGATTACATTACTTTAAGGGCTCTCGTGGCCTGGAGGTTTAAGGTGATCGCCTCTCATTCAAAGGTCCCGGGTTTGAATCCGGGTAGCGACGGAAAAACTCTAAAATTGTCTTCTTTCATCTCCTGTCCTGCTCTCTAGCAATGTTCTGTAATTTGCTTTTGTCTCCACTTTCTGCCCCCAACCCCTCACCTGCTTTGCCCCTCCTCTGAACCCCTAACTCTTTCTGCAGCCTTTCTACTGCTACTCTTTGGTCCCTTCTTAATGCTGTCTTTCACTTTCAGCCACACCCCTGATCCTGTGGTAGGTACGATCTACACCTAGCCTTCTCGGACAAGGACGAAAAATCT